GAGCCAGCGCTGCCGCCCGCGCCCCGCAGCCCTGCCCGCCGGGCGGCCCCGCGGGGCTCAGGGGAGGTCGGGAATGGGAATGGGCCAAAGCCAGCAGCCGCCGCTCTCTGGCCCCACGGGACGGGCTTGGGACCGGAGCGGGCAGAGGCAGCTCCTCCCCGCGTGCTGCCCAGGGGCTCCTCTTCCCTCGCGCTGGACTCGTGGCTCCAGCTGGAATAAATCAGTGGCTTTGATGGAAAGGAGCTGGGTCGGGGCATGTAGCTGCAGCCACAGCTTCATTGCACCGCACAACTCTCGCTGCTTGGACTTGGGGGTGACAAAGGGACCGGGGTCCGAGCGGGGAGGAGGCCAGGCCGGGCCGAGGAAGCCCTGTGCACGGCTCTGCACTTTCGGGCTACACCAACACGTAGGAAGGGCGGTGCCTGGCTGACCTGCTTTGGATCCAAAGGAGCTCGTTTCTGTGAAAGGAAATTTAGAGGAGCAACAACTCGCTGCCCATGCGCTGGGCGAAGGGAATGGATCCCAAATGCAGTGACCTCCAACCAAAGAGCAGCCAGGAGTCCCTAACGTGACCATATAGAAAGAAAACTTGAAGGTCACTTAATACATAGATACAGGGCAAAGAGCTGTGCAAAACAGGTCCTCATCTCGAGAAATGGAGATGTGAAGGACTGGTAAGTCTTAAGCAGAAGGGGAGATGACTAATTTTATCTAGACCCCTGGGTTTTCTCTAGCTGAAAAGGTCAAATCTGCGTACACTTGGCACACTTATAGACACACGGTTAAGGCATGCCAATCCATAAGGACAGCAACACGTAAAGGAGCATTGCATCTGCCTGCCTTTGACTTCCTGGCCTGAATCACCAGCTCCCCATTTACAGCAGGGTCTAATAGGGGCAGCTTTGAGGAACAGCTTGGAGCAAGCCTCAGACTTACACCTCTGGAGCTGCTGACTACTACAGTTAAAGGGAGTGACAAAATAAAACTATTTAAAAGGATCAGGCTTATACCTTAAACCAATCAGAACATTTACTATCATACTTTGATTCTTTGATCAATATTTGTTTGTATTGCAGGACTGTCAAGAGGCCCCATCAAGTGGACTTGTAAAAGGCGCTGTTTAAACACAGACATAGATGTGGTCCAGGTGGTGAGGATGCTATACAATAAATGAGTTACACAAGGAGAGGGATGAGCAGCCTATTGAAAGTAAGACACTAGGATGGATGGTCTAGACAGACAATCCTGCCTTGAGCAGGCGGTTGGTCTAGACTCTAGTTTAGATGACCTCCTGAGGTCTCTTCTAGGCCTACACTTCTATGATTTTAGGATGACACAGTACATGAGTTGGGGACTCCAGAACATATTTTTTTAAATCCTAAAATCAGCAGTCTTGTGCGCTGTCCAATCCAGTCATTGTTGCCCAAGTGAATTCCTCCGAGGCACCCTGTCAAGTGAGTGAGAGGATTGGAAGAGGGTAGCACACTCACAAACTACTGTAATTAAAGAGGGAGAATACGGGGATATTCTAGCCATAATACATAGCTTAGAAAAAAGGCATTTGTTGGAGAAACACGCAGACAGGAATGGTGGAGCAGCACTGGATGCTGAATCCGGATTCAATATTCCTAGCCTTGAGCTACATGACCAGGCGGGGGGCCATAATAACTTCTATAGGCCAAGATCATTGCCACACCAGGGATGCTTTGCCTCATGTCATTCCCCACTTTGGCAAGCTACTTGTATGAGGCTTTCCCATCTCCCTTTAGTTTAAGGACTTCCAGAAACTATACATGTGCCCCAGTTCCTCCCAGCAAATGCCAGTGGAGCTGTGTGTCCTTTCCTTGGATATCTGTGCTTCTCATTCCCCTTCCCACCAGGCCATCCACGGTATTATTGGTCCTCCTCATTTCCCATCACGCTAGGTTTTCTGTGTCCTCTTATTTCCCCTTTGCAATTGTCCTTCATGCTTTACCATGTTAGGGATATAGGCCTTCTCCAAACACCCGGGTTTCCTTGCCAGGGGCACTGTGTATTCCCCATGTCCCTCACTCCTTTGTGACTTATTCTCTCTTCCCTTTCCCACTCCCTTCAGATCAGATTTTCCTTTTTTCCCAGCCCTAGAAGGGGTTGTGTACACCCCAATACCATTTTCATTTATTTTCTTTTCATCTAAGAGAGATGTTGTTCAGGGCATCTACATTTTAAAGTGCATAGGGAAGATGTCAGAGGTGACATCTTCCCTACAGGGCCGGGAAGTCCGGGTGAGGGTGATCCCCTGCCCTCCATTAATGCTGACTTTCTGAAGGAACATCTTGAGAAGCTGGAAACCTTCAAGTCAGCTGGCCCTGACAATCTTCACCCCAGGGTACTCAAGGAGCTGGCGAGAGAGTATGGAAAATATGCCAAAAGCTGGGTTGTCCCTTCCATCCCACAGACCCCATTGATTTCCTGCAGGGCAGGAATCCCCCCTTGCAGAGCAGCTTGCAAGATCAGGGTAAATCCATTTCTAGTAACAGACTTTCTCACGCACCCTACCCACTACATTCACGTTTCTCCACTTAGCCCACCTTGGCATCCTTCTGAACCCTGTTATTTTTCAAAACTATTTGGAGAATAGAGAGTGAGTTCTGAATGCCAGCAAGCAACTCTGCCTCTACTGAACCAAGCGGAGAAAGCAGTTGCACTTGAATTTCCCAATTGCCAATTCTCCTTTTTCCTTTCTAACACCAGAATGGAAAGAGCTTTTAGCAAAACTCTCTCTCTAACTTTAGCGGCTGCTCCAGTACCATATAAGGAGACGGGCCATTTCCAAGATCCAAAATATTGAGGGTTTCAGGAGGTTGAGAAAATGGCGAGTTCATATTTATACAGAAACAAGTGGTATGTCAATCCAAATCACAGAACCCGTGCAAAATGCACTCTCTGACAGGAACGCCGCTAAGCAGCGGCGTTCAGCGCCTCGTTTTTAGGCAATCGTCAGGTAAAGCTCCATCTAGAATAGATTGAACTAAAGCAAGATGACAGGAACTGGGAACCCCCAAATCCGAAAGAAATAGCTTTAGGGATGAAAAAGGAGAGTGTGTAAATAGCAAAAGTAGAGGTACCACATTTTGGAGCCAATTGCTTTAGAGAATAAGTGTGTTTTTAAAAACGGATTAAAATAGATTTCTGCAATGGAGGAGCAGGGAGTGCACAAACATTTTTATTTTTGCTCTCAAGCAAATCCCGGGACGTCATTCTCCCCCTGTACTCGGCCTTAGTGAGGCCGCAGCTGGAGTACTGTGTCCAGTTTTGGGCTCCACAATTCAAAAAGGATGTGGAGAAGCTTGAGAGAGTCCAGAGAAGAGCCACGCGCATGATCAGAGGTCAGGGAAGCAGACCCTATGATGACAGGCTGAGAGCCCTGGGGCTCTTTAGCCTGGAAAAGCGCAGGCTCAGGGGTGATCTGATGGCCACCTACAAGTTTATCAGGGGTGACCACCAGCATCTGGGGGAACGTTTGTTCACCAGAGCGCCCCAAGGGATGACGAGGTCGAATGGTCACAAACTACTTCAAGATCGTTTCAGGCTGGACATAAGGAAGAACTTCTTTACTGTCCGAGCCCCCAAGGTCTGGAACAGCCTGCCACCGGAGGTGGTTCAAGCGCCTTCATTGAACACCTTCAAGATGAAACTGGATGCTTATCTTGCTGGGATCCTATGACCCCAGCTGACTTCCTGCCCTTTGGGCGGGGGGCTGGACTCGATGATCTTCCGAGGTCCCTTCCAGCCCTGATGTCTATGAAATCTATGACATGGAGCTGTTTTTGTCAGGGGAGTTAATGGCTGCCATCAACCTGATTGCATTCTACAGACAAATACAGAAGTGGTTGAAGGTGCTAGATTACTAACTGGATATCAGGGGCTCTGCATGTCTCCTTCCTTGTTGTGCCCTCCACCTCCTCCAAAGCAATTGGGATCTGCTCCTTAGGAACATAGCAGTGGACATCTTAGGTCACCAAGTCCAATCTCCTGCCAAAGTCATTAACGAAAATATTAAATTGGACCCAAGATTAATCGCTGAAGAACTCTGCTAGCAACTGTTTGGTAGCTTGCTTCTTGCATCAATCTAGCACCATCTACCTTTGGTAAACTCCTGTTGCATTTTATCCTTTTTTTGTTTCCCTTCATATCTTTATTTTTTCCTTCAAGATTTTTTCTAACACCTTGTGTATCACTGATGTTACATTAATAGGCCTATAATTACTTAGATCTTTTTTTCTCCTTACACACGAAAATGTAGATGCAAGATTTGCTCGTCTCTAGTCAGAAGGCACTACATCTGACTTGAAAGATTTATTTTAAAAAACCCAAACAACCCATTATTATAGCAGTGATTTCATATGCCAGTTCTGACAGAATTTTGGGATGCAGATTATTCAGTCTCCCTGATCTAAGAGCATTAAGCTCTTGGAATTTTGCTTCTACCTTAATTGTGGTAATTTCCATTTCCTTTATGCTTGTTCCCATCACCTTTTCTGCCTTGGCCTCCAATTTCAAAATCACTGTCCTTATTGAAAAAAGGCAAAATATTCACCTAATTCTGGGGCTTCATCTTTAAG